GAAACGGTAACAGCCAGCCAAACTCACCTTCTAGACGCTGCCTAAACTGTACCCCGTCAAACAGCGTGGGAGACTGTCCAGTGCCCCCCAACCCCAACACTGGGCATTAGTGATCAGTTTCATTTTCACCCAGAGCCTATCAGCAAGGAACAAAGGATCTCGGGACTTAATGTGTTATTTCCCCGATTACTAGGGCTGCCCTGTGCCTCTTCGCACGTCTCTGGGCGCAGCCAGCTTTTGTTTTCGGCACTAGAAGGTGAGGGTTGGAGCCATCGCTTGGCCGGGGTGGGTCCGTGGGGAGCTCTCTTTGGGCCGGGCAGTCCCCCTCGCTTCCTCCCGCCCCAAAGCCTGGAAACAAGGACTTCCCTCTCCCACCCACGCCGCCCTTGCCTCCGCCAGGGCCCAGCAGATGGGGGAGGCAGCCTTCCGGTCCCAGAGAGGAAGCTTCATCCTCGATTGTTCTGTGTGGGCCCCCGGCTGCAGGAAGAGGCCACGTGGTCACCCGCTGGAGCAGAGCAAGCCTCCTTGGACAAGTGGCCTCGGGTCCCAGAGGCTGTTTCCTCGTCATAGAAGGAGGACCCCATGACGTCCTTGGGAGACCAAGGGCGCCCAGGCAGCTCTGTCCCTCCCCCGGCTCCAGCGTCCTGCCACCCGCCTGTGGCCTCAGGCCCTCCACCCTGGCCTGGCAGGTGTCCCCACATGTGCTGGCTGGAAATACCCTCGCAGGGCTCATCGCTCAAGGCTCTCACGCTGTAGGCGGGTCTGCGACCCCCAACCCCAGAAGGGAGAGCGGCTCGACTACAGCCATCTTTCCGGTGACTCCGCCTGGCATCCCAGATTTAATGATGAGCTACTAGTAGCTATGAAACTGCCGCCTGCCATGGATCGAGTGTGTGGTGCGTGCCAGGCGCTGTGCTGGGCTCTTACCACGCACTGCCTCATCTAACCCCTCACAGCAACCCAGGGAGGGAAGGGACCATTCTCCCCATTTCATAGATGGGAACAGAGAGGCTCGGAAAGGCTAAGGGACTGGTGGCAAGGTCACAGTGCCGGTGTAGGGTGGAGCTAGGATCCGCACCCGGCTGGACCAGGTGGGCAAGGGTGTGGGGAGGTGGCGCTGTCCACCCTGAGAGACCCTCTCTCTTGAGCTATTCCCCCCCTTCAGCCCCAAGTCTGCTCTTTGGCTTCGGCTGTGGATCAGCCTCCCAGGGGGGCTCCAGAGAAGGGCACACGAGGGACAACATGAAACGTCTCCCACGTGGGCTAGAAACTGTGGCTTGTCACTTAGAAGGCTGTGCCAGCTGACAGGTGGCGGATGAAGAATTGTGGAGGATGGGGTTGTGAAGACAGGTGTCGTCAACAGTTGGGGGGGTGGCTTTTAAAGCAATGTGGGCTGGCCTGAAAGCCATATAGAATCCTGTGAGGTTGACACAGAGAAACTCAGCATTTCATGGCTCTCGCCTGGAGGAGTCGGGGAATGACTGAGGTGGCATGTGTGGCTGGCTGCTCCACTCCAAATATTTTAAGCCCGGGATGTCCTTCTGCAAAGTTCTCCTGGATTAGAGATTAATTTTAAGCAGGGATAATGTCGAGGGATATTACGGGCTTCGGTTAAGGATCTGGAATTAATATTTTGAATACAAGCCCATTTATAAGGAACAGAAGCCCTAACCTTGACCTCTGCCACCTGGCAGCCCTCTCCAGCGGCCACTGAGGCCCAGGGCATGGGTTTCATTCTAATTATCCCAATGGCCTGGGTCCAGTCCGGCGGTTCTCCATCAGGGGTGGCTCTGCACCCCTCCCCGGGACATCGGGCAGTGTCTGGAGACAGTCTGGTCGTCACAGCAGAGGCGGAGTGCTCCTGGCATTGAGTGAGACCCTGCCCCACAGCCCACGGGACACAGGACGGGGGCAGCTGGGGCCTGCCTGCCTGAAGTCTCTGCTAGTCCCACCTTGACTGCTCCTCGCTGTCGTGTCGTGGGGCTTAAAGACAGGAAAAAGCAGGGGCGCCTGGATGGCTCAGTCGGTTGAGCATCTGAGCCTCTGACTTCAGCTCAGGCCATGATCTCATGGTTCGTGAGTTCGAGCCCCGTGTCGGGCTCTGTGCTGACAGCTCAGAGCCTGGAGCCTGCTTCGGATTCTGTGTCTCCCTCTTTCTGCCCCTCCCCTGCTCGTGCTCTCTCTCCTCTCTCTCTCTCTCTAAATTGAATAAACATTAATTTTAAAAAAATAGGGAAAAGCGTAGTTTGGGGTTGGTAAGATCACACCTAAAAGCTTCCTTTTCCATTCAAGAAGGAGCAGACATCAGGCTTTCCCTAAACAAGCCCTTCTCATTTGCAGGCCGCCAGTCGAATCAGATCAGAGGAGCCGCGCTCTCTAATTCCTCTTTTTAATACAACTTTGCCGGTTAATGGTAAGTGGGGCTGCTTCCACTCAGCATCTCAGCCACAGGGTGGTCACCAAGCACTGTCCTCTCCCTGGCCCCCCAGAGCCACCTGTGGGGAATTCTCTCCTGATCCGCCCTGGCGGCTGTGACACGCACACGAGGTGACCGGCCAGGGATCGCTCCACACGGCCCCGTCCAGACAGCCTTGGTCTCTGCCCTCTCTCTGGGGCTGGTCTTGCCCCAGCCGGGAGGGTGGACACGGAAGAGCGGGTGGCAGGGGGACACGGGAGGGGGGGAGCAGGGAGAGAAGGAAACAAAGGGAAGCAAATGGAGAGCACACAAAACGGCCCTCCACCTCTGAAACCTCAAATCATTCGGGACTGGCACCATTTTTAAATTTCTAAAAGTCCGGAAGTGGGTGCTGTGTGAAAGAGGGAGACCTGGGCTCAGAAGACACTTCACTCCCAGGAGAAGTCTGATCTGGCCAAATTCAGCCCCGATTCTCAACTTTTTCTAGACACCATAGCCGGTCTCTGCCCCCCAACCCACCGCCCCCAATCCCGAGAGAATAATGATCACGTCATAACAACATTAAAGATCACCGCGGGCTCGACGCAGTGCCGACTGCTTGACAAACATCATCTCTCACAAGTCTCGCAGTAAGCTATAGGGCAAGGACTGTGAGTGGCCCTGCGTGCAGATGAGGAAACCGAGGGTCAGAGTGGCTGAGGTCACACACCCTGGAAAGTGGCGGAGCCTGGACTCCCGCCCAGGTCTGCCTGATTGCAGTCTAGGTGCGCACTGGGCTCCGCTAGCCAGGGACCAAGGACTGGCACAGACAGGGAAAGTCATGTGAGGCCTCCAGCCTCAGGCCTGCCTCCCGGCAATAGTGCCCGCAAGCTCTCAGAGCCATGGAATGGAGGCTTTAAGCCCCTGTGCCCAGATGGGGGAGCGGAGGCCCCGGCCGGGCCTGCTGCCTCTCCTCAGCACTCAGCCCCTTCGGGTCTCCCCCGCTTCCTCCTGGGGCTCGTATCTTCCCACGGTCAGCAAGACCCTCCGCCTTCCCTCCCCCTTCTCGGGAAGAACGCAGGCTTTGCCTAAAACTCCTAGAAAACCCTCTGCCTCTGAGTCTTCTCAATTGCCCCCGATCCTTTGCGCGGTCCCAAAAGGCTTCCGGCTTAAGGCTTCCTAGGATAGAGTCCACACTGAACAACTAAGAATCGTGTCTCCCTTCTTGCAACGGAAAAGTCAGCACCCTACCCCCCACCCCCCCAACGCCCGACACACACACACACACACACACACACACACACCCCGGGTCAAAAGCCACTTTGGAGAAGTAAAGGGCTTTGGGTACAGACATCAGGTTGACGGAGGACATGCGCCCCGGTGAGGTGATCCCGGTTACACCCTCATTTTACGCTTTCCCACGTTTCTCTCGTTTGCCTTACAACTTCAGTCATTAAGGAGAAGCAGCAAGACTTAGTGCCCCGCCACCCCCATCCCCTTCCCAGTGCCTCTCATTTCGGAGGGGCCCGTGAAAAGGTCCAAGTCCTGAGGACCTCCCCCCTGCTCTGCTCCTCACTTGAAGAACTGGGGAGCAGTGTGCACCCCGAGAGGCCGGCCGTGGGACAGCGTCCACACCCAGGCCCCGGCACGGTTGGGAAGCCTTCCTCGGGGCCCGCCTCGCTCTCTCCGAGGGACCTCGTGCTCGGAAACGGCTATTTTCACGTCCCTATCTCAGCACGGCCCTGGAGGCTAAGTGGCTTCCCTTTCTGTCCACCTCTATGCTTTCCACCCCCCAAGATGACCGTCCCCAGAACCCCGGCACATGGCAGGAGAGAGGGCCCCGGCTCCCCATGTCCTGCACCAAGACACGCATTGTCCTGGGAACGTTCTGGACACCAGGCTGGAGAGAAGAGGCCGGCGGGCTCCTCTCGGCCGTGAGGGCCCCCTCTCGAGCCTTCTAGACACCAACACAGGATGTCTAGCGGCCTGCTGCCTTGGGGAGAGAGAAATGCTATACCGTGAAGCAGACTGGCTTCGAAAACAAGCCACGGTCTCAAACAAAACACCAGAGGAACACAGAGCTGTCCCCCCACCCGGGGCCTGATGTGCCGTGTGAAAACACTGCAGAGACAAGTTCAAGCCCAGCACAAAGCGCTGTCTGAGTGACTACAGAGGCATCAGAGGGTCCCCCTCTCTCCTCCTGAGCGTCCGCCCCTGTACCTCTTGGGGAGGCCTGAGCCCCCCAGGGGTGGGGGCAAGCCTCAGCCTCCCGAGCAGCCCCAGGACAGCTCACTTGTTTTGCCAAAGAGGCACCTGGTGGAATGCACCTCTGCTTTCTCAGCATCCAGCAGGGAGGGACGTGTGAACTCCAGGGGCCCGTGACAGTGGGAGGTAAGGTCCCAGAGCCATGACCCCATCTGAATCAACAGGCAAACCCTTGAGACCCCCTGGCCAAGGAGGACACGGGGTCAGCCTCCCGTAACTGCCTGAAGCCCCCCTCCCACCCTGGCCGGGCCCCTCTCCAGCCCCCACTCCCCCCCACCCCAGGCCTCCGAGCTCCCCACGCCGAGCAGCCCCCCACAGCTTGCGCCCGGGCGCTACTCACATGCCCTGTTCCCCGTACTGATTGTAGAACTCCATGTGGCTGCATGCCTGGATCCAGCCCACGATCCAGGTCTCTTTCTTGGGGATGGGTGGCATGACCACCTGGGCCGAGGCACGGAAGTGGGGTGTCCGGTAGCGGAGCACCACGCTGGAGGACTCATCGATGCTGGTGGGGATGGGGTCAATAGAGGCCTTCACGTCGATCACGGTGATGCCTTCCCTGAAAACTCTGGCTTTGCCTCCGATGCTCTGGATACAGCCCATGGCACAAAGCAGCGCTCTGATCTCCAGGGAAGGCCAGCAGTCCCAGAGAAAACTGGGCATTGAAAGGATGGAGCTTATGGGACCCAGGGCAGACAGCACTGCTCTCCAATCTCAAATCTCCAGACCCGTATCCATAGGATAGAAAAACTCACTGAGGAGAGGGGGTTTGCATATCACTACCTCGGGCCTGCTTATAAATAAGGATTTCTTTGCATTTCCAGAGCCCTGGGTTCTATCTTCTTCTGCTAGCAGTGGACAAAAACCACCGATATTCTTTGGGTTAAAAAAAGGAAAGTTTGGAGGCTAATGGATAGTCATGTTGCTCGGACATCCAGCCCGTCCGTGCCTCACACGCGGGGAACGCAGCTCCGAGACGCTCCCTGAAGTCCTCGGGCGGCGAAGGCGAACGCCGGCAGACACATAAATAAGGAAGGCTCCGTCCCCCGCGCGGCGCCGGCACCCTCGCTGCACTTCCTGGCCCCTGCCTTCCGCACGCGCTCGCTCGGGGCGCACGCACCGGCCGCTCGCCCAACGGGGCCCAATCAATGGAAGAGCAGTTTCCGTTCGAGCGCGGAGGCCCGGGCGCCCTCGGGGGCGAGCGCCGACCCGCGGCTTCCAGCAGGCGAGCGCCGGGCACCGGCCGCCCGCGGGGTCCCCGTCGGCGCCCAGTCGCGGGCGCGGGCCGACGCCCCCACGCGGGCGCCCCGCGTGCCCCCGCCGCTGTCGCTGTCGCCGCCCGCCGCCGCGCCGGGCTCCGGGGCTGCGCTCCGGCCGCCGCCTGGCTCGCCGCGACCGCCGAGGACCTGGTCGGGGGTGGGGTGGAAGGGACAGGGCGTCAAGGGCCGCCTCAAAGTTGAGCCGAACTTTGCTGCGGGGGACGCGCGAGGCGGCGACGCGTGTGCGCTGGGCGCCGGCTGCGGAGCTGACGGCGCAGCACTGGGCGGTCTCCCCGGAGGCGGTGGCCCCCCACCCCCACCCCGGCCCGCCCCGTCAGTGGCGGCTGCACGACCGCGCGCACCAGCGAATAATAGCCGCCCGTGACATCTCCGCTGACACCCTCCCGGCCTGGGAGTGGCGGGGGCGGGGGGGGGGGCGGCCACCGGCTGGCACTGCAGTGGGCTGCGTGAACTTGCCGGCCCTGGCACTGCCCCCACCGCCTCGCCGCCGGCGCCCCTTCCCCGGCCGGGTCCCTCCTGCCCCCTGGGGGCGCAGTGCCACCCTGCAGGCCGGTCCGACCGGGCGTGCGCCCCTTCCCGGGACGGGATCCTTCGACTCCGGAGAGTGCAGTGCCCCAGCCCCGCCGCGTCGGGCGCCTCTGTCCCCCACCTCGCCAGCCCCAAACGGCCCCGGGTCCCCGCGCGTCGGGCGCGCTCACCGCCGCCGGGGAACTTTGGCGCGCACGCCCCCACCCGGGCGGCGCCACCGACTCACCTGCCCCTCGGGCCGCTCCGCGTGCCCCGGCCGCCGCCCTCCGGACGCCCCTGACCCCTCCGCGGGCACGTCCTCGGGGGCCCCCCACCTTCCCCGGGCAGTGTCCTTTGGCTCTACTAGGGTCTGGGGCGGCCGTGGGCGCCCCCGGCCCCCACCTCCTCCTAGCTCGGGGCTGCCGTGGGGGGGGGGGGGTGGTGGCCGGGGGCGGAGGGCTGAGGCTCGGGGCTCTCTCGCCCCCACCCCGTGCGTCCGCTTTATTTTATGATCATTGTGAGCTTCTGTCGCCGCTCAGCCCCGCCGCCGCGCCGCAGCCGCCTGGCGCGCCCCGCGCTGCCTCGCTCTGCTGCAGCATCGGAAAGGCAACCAGGTCAAACTTTGCAGAAACTCAGCCCCTGCGCCGGCCTGGCCCCGCGTCCCCCGCAGCCGCCGGCCGGAGCGCAGCGCACGCAGGGACCGCCGCCCGCTCGCCGGCCCCGCGGGGATGCAGGTCCGCAGGCGGCGGCGGCGGGCTGGCGGGCGCCGCCTCCTCCTCGCCGCCCGCCCAGCTCTCCACCCTCGCTCCCCGCACACAGCCCGCCCTCCCCCTGCTAATCCTCTCCCCTTCTCCCCCCTCTCTCTCTCTCTCTCCCTCTGCAGCTTGTGGGGAGCTGAGCCTCTCCTTGCATAAACGACATTTCCTTTTTGGCTAACCGCGGGAATTCTGGGTAGTGTAGTTCGGTTTCTGTCTCTGTCCGGGGAGCGGGGGCTCCTCTGCCCTTTGAACCGGCAGCCTCTCTGGGGAAAAGGGTTGCACGGTCCTGGTATTCGTGGCCAAGGCGGGGCCGTGATTGGGTAAAAGCAGGGCAGGGGCCCTGAGAGGCTCCGGGGCTGGGAAGCTTGGGGTGGAGGAGAGAAGTTTAGGGAAAGGGTGCCTGGGACGGAGCCTCTCGGCCCGCTGACAGGTGACCAGGCCTGACGGGGCCCCAGCTGTGAAAAGTGCTGTACAAGCTTCATCATTTCATCCACCATCAGGAGGTCTATTATGCATTCCTGACAGAGCTGGCATCCGAAGCTGGGAGACCCCGGAGACTTGCCCCAGGCCCCTGGCAGGTGTCTGAGCGGATCCTGGGACCTCTCTGGGCGCAGAGGTTCAAAGAGGGTTCGACCCTGGACTCCGGTAGAGCTGTGAACCTCTCTGAGCTGCCGCAAGCCAATAGCCCCACCCCCACCTTGCTATTTACTCCCCCAGGGAAAGGCCAGGTGGTTTGTGACATCAGAAAACCTGGCAGCCACGTTAGAACCATGCTCTGCCCCCGCCCCACCCCCATGACTCTGACCCCCAAAGGTACCCAGGGGAGCAGGTCATCCTGACCACCCTCAAGCCAGACCATCTTGAGTGCCAGTGAGGGCGGGAGCTGGAGAGGGAGAGTTCCAGCCGCGCTGAGGTCTCTTCTTTGAGGAATGATCAGCCAGGTCAAGTGATCCGCCTCATGCCAGCACGAGCTCAGGCCACAGGTACCTTATTTCCAGTCCTGCTGACTGAGGCCAAGGTGGGGTGGCCCTCGTGACCTGCTTTCTGCCACACAGTAGAACCCCAGACAGCAAAGGTCTCCCAAGGACCCCGTGAAACTGTCCATTTCCAGGAAGAAGACTTCCCTGACCTCTTACCCATAGCGGCCTCTCTCTGCTGTAGAGTCCTGCCCCCCCCCACACACACACACATTCTACCCTCCTGGGACTCACTACAGCCTTCAATGCCTCCTTTGCCAGCAGATGATTATTAGGATACAGATGATTGTACGTATATAAGTAAGATGTTAGCGCTGGGGGGTGTCTGTATCATCGCCCATCCCCCATCACACCCAGCATCCGGAACAGAGCAGACCCCACTGGCCAGGGTGCCCCCCGATGTCACAGATGCCATCCTGGTGTCAAGGACAGGCGTGCTCCATGAACACGTGCTGAGCTGAGCAGTTTTCTCATCCAATGTGAAGAGGCCAGCGCCTTCATCTGCTCGCGAAGCAGCCAGAGCCCTGGAGACAACGTTTCCTGAGTGAACGTTCACCCCAGGAAGTGGACTGTTCAGACAGAGACCCGGGGGACGGGGGTCAGGGGACAGAAGCTTTTCAGAGTCTGGATCCCCAGCCAGATCCGGCCAGGTCCAAAGCCCGCTCAGCTCCTCCTCCAGGGATGCTGTCCTTGCCAGCTGGAACCAGCGCCTCCGAGTGGGACGGAACCGACCCCTAGAAAGCCCTGTTTCTAGAGTCCCACCGGAAAAGGGGCTCAGATGCCCACGGGGTGAGGGTTCTGGCAAAATAGAAGCCCCCCCCTCTTAGCCTCAGCCGCATCGATGCCTCTCCTTTCACATCCCCCCGACCCCATGCAGTACTTCGCCAGGCTCTGAGCTGAGGAGTTCCCCGCCCCCCCCAGACCAGCCCAACAGAAGGGTCTTCATGGGCTGGGCTCACGCACAGGCCCCATCCCGGCTCCTGATGGGCCCGGCTCCTGCTGCCCCAGCCCTCAGGCCCCTTTGGCCTTCCTGCCTCCTGACTCGGTCTTCCTCCTCAGCATTTTCTGGGGTTTGTGAGTGTTGGGCACAGACCCACAGCTGCCTCAGCATATGCGGAAGGCCCGGATGCATCCCCACGTGTGTGGGACTCTGGCGTCTGCAGAAGAGGAAAAGGGGACATCTGGGTGTAACAGGCCCAGCACCGGGGGGGACCCTCCCATCACCCCCTCTGCTGACTTCATCCTCTCCCCTAGACCTCAGTCTCCCTAGGCTCCTCAGTGAGGGGAAAGAGGAGGGACTGGACGCACAGTCCCAGTCTCGGCTCGGAGATGGTGCACTCTTCAGCATGGCCACTTTGGGGACTCAAGGTCTGGTCAGCAGGAGTACAAGTTCCCTCACTTCTGGGCACGTTGGCCCAGAGAGGCCATGGCAAACCAGTCATATAACAAATCAGAGGTAAGAACGACATGACCCTGCACAGCTGGGGTTTAACATGCAGCCCAAACAAGCCAAGAGCCCTCCGAGGTCTGCAGAAAGAGCTAGATGCTCCTCACTGAGCGTCACCGGAAGCCATCACACATATGGCTCTCCACAACGACCCCATGAGCCATCCTCTGTCACCATGGCATTCTGCGGAGGAGGCACTGAGACCCGGTGAAGACAGTGGCATGGACTGAACGGCAGCGGCCCGGCTCCAAACCCCGGAGGCTGGTGATTCAATGTAGCGGGCGCTCTGGTGGCCCTGCAGCTGTAATGGCCTCGCTTTCGTGGCCATCGGAGACCTTCTCCCTCATTGGCCAACCTGCATCTCAAGGCCAAAGCCAGTCCTTCAAGAGCGCTCAGGCTCCAAGGGCGTGGTCATCATGGGACTAGAAAGGCATTTCCCAGGAAGGAAAAGCCCTTGTTCTGCACATGGAAATGTTAATGCTGGAATTCTGTTGCCCTGGGAAACAAGTTCTCTCCTTAACTGTTTGGGACCAGATTGGAAGGCAGTGGTAAGGCTTGGAATGTCTACCTGGGAAAACGGGGAAGGGGGGGGGGCAGGGCTGGACGGACAGGCAGACGGCTGGAGGCGGGCACTGGGGGTCAAGGCCACCCAGCTGCAGGGCCCAGCTGACATCGTCATTGTACACCCCGCCTATGCCGGCAGCGGGCTCAGGCCTGGCCAGGTGAGCAGAGATGCGATCTCAGAGAGGGCTGGTCCACGGCTTCCACTACAGCTGCGGAACTCGGTCCCAGTACGGTCATCCAGAGGGGGCCCCGCATTGGAACCCAGGTCACTCTCCCCGGAGAGGCAGTGGCATGCTGCAGGAGATGTCTGCAAGGCGGCGTGTAACACCCACTGCCTAGCGTGGGTGCCTATGGGGCGGTGCAGGCCTTTCTGGCCAGATGTTCAGAACTACATTTCTTCTAGAGCACGTGAGGCTTGGAGCTCCCACCATCCGCACGTGCCTCCCTTCCCCCGCTTTGACTGGACACCTGCGCTCGGTGGGGCGCGCAGAGGACACTGAGGGCACAGCCAGCGCCAGCACAGACGGCAGGTGTGGTCCCCACAGGACTTACGTCCCACGGGCCAGAGTGATGTCAGGGTAAATCCAGAAATGACTAATAGAAGTATGAATTAACATGAATAATATATAGGCACAAATTCATACTTGAAATGGTTACAAGTATCGATTGCTGTAAATCAGGACCTATAGAGTAAATTGATTTGTGTGTGTGTCCCGTGTTGAGCTTGGGGAAAGGAGGGTGAAGGGGAAAGGAGGGTGAAGGAGGAAGCACTTTCGGGGGGGCGTGTTGAGGGTGTGTGTAGTAAGCATAATAGAGGAGGTCAGAGTGTGTGAGGACGTGCGAGTGTGTGATGGTGCGGGTGAGTGTGACCGTGTGGGTTTGTGCATCTCTGTGTGGGAGGGTATAGTGGCTGTTGTGCGGGGAAGGGGGGTATGTGGATGAGTATGTGTGTCCGGGTATTGTATGTGCCCGTGTGTGTGTGTGTGCGCGTGTGTGTGTGTGAAGTGCGTCATGGTGTGACAAGCATAAGTGGTGTGGGTGTAGATGAGCAAGGGTGTGTTTACAGTGTATGACAGGAGTGTGCCTTGTGTGAGGGTAAATCTGTATGAGCGCGTGGGTGTAGGAGTGTCCAGGATAGTACGTGTGTCCCTGTGTCTGCATGGACCTATGTGAGCGTGTGCCTGTGGGAGAGGTTGAGGGTGTGTCTGCGTGGAAGTGTGGATGGTGGGCGTAGCTGAGGGTGTTTCTGAATGTCCGTGTATGTGAGAGCGTGTATGTGAGAGCGTGCATGTATGTGTCTGTGCACGTGGGCGTGTTGGGGCCTGGGGTCACCCGCGGGATGGAGATTTCACTAGCCAAATGGAGGTCACCTAAGGGTGGTGAGGGGCTGCTTCTCCCAGTCTTAGTCACGGGGGGGATGGAGGCGCCCTCTGGCTCGGCTTCCCCAGCGGAGTGTTTAGACACACAGTTCTGGGTGCCAAACGGCCTGCCCTCCCGCACCATCGTGGGCCCAGCCGGGGAGCTGAGGCTCTGGGGGCGCCCCAAAGTCAGGCAGCAGCCGCCGGAGTGCGCACACACCCTGGGCCCCCGCACAGGACTCCTGGGGCACAGACCCACGGCATCCGCGGGACTGGGGGGTCCCCGTGGGGGTCACGCGTGTGGGCGCTGCCCCAACCGCCCCCGCGTCCCGCGTCCCACACCCGCGTTGGCCGGAGGCGGCGGCGCCCTGGGTGCGGCACTGGGAGTTCTCCAAGGTGCTAAAATAAACCCCGCGGAGGATCAGGTTTCCCGACCGAAATAACCCAGGAGCGGCCTTCGAAATGCGAACTGCGAGAGTGATCAAGCAGGGAGCGCCCGGTGGGGGTGGGGGTGGGGTGAAAAATGCTGCTGTCGCCCTCCCAGGCAGGGGCCGGCCGCTGCCCCTCCCTCTCCTCCCCTCCAGCTGCACTCACCCGTCTCCCCAGGACACAGCCCCCTCCAGGGAGTGGAGCTTCCCCCCCACTCCCTTCCCGTTCCCTTCTGGGGTCGTCACCCCAAATAATCCACCTCCTTTGGCCATCCGTCTTGGTAGTAGTTAGTAAGTGTGTAGTAGATTGGAGCCCAGGCTCGGGAACCAGATATTCGTTCATTTGATAAGTATTTATCAACTGCCTGCTATATGCCAGGCGGTGCCTAGGCCCGTGGGCCCATAAACGAATAGAGGACAGTCCCTGCCCCCTGGGCTGACCCTCTGTTAGGAGGACACTAGCCATTGACACACACAGAATAAGTGTTATGGCTCGTTGGAAAGCACAGTGAGCAAGAGGAAAGGAAAAGAGCAGAGGAGGAGAAGAGGTATTGGGGTGATGTTTGAGTCCTGGGGTACCGCTCTGGCTCACTGGATGACCGGAAAAAGTCACTTCACCTCTGAGCTTTGATGTTCCCATTTGTTTGATGAAGACTAAAAGCTTAACTTTGAAGTGTGATAAAGACTAAAAGCTTGACTTTGAAGTTGGCACGGGGTGGGGGGGACGGGGGGGGTAAGGGACACACACTTAGCTCCAAGTAGGCGAGAACGACTATCAAGTACAAGTTAATGATAAATGCACTTGGCGGTACTAATAGGAGTAGTACTAGATAGTAGCGGTGGAGCCATCTTAAACGCTCAGAGACAAGAAATAACAAGCTGCCACGTACAAACTGCTCCAGGTCCCACAAAGCTGCCAGAAAACCTCTCCTGCTCTCAAAGGGGAGAGAGGCAGTGTATCTAAGTGGTTAGGGGCGAGGGCTTTAGGCTGAGACCCCAGTGTGGATCCTGGTTTCCTCTTACCAGCTGTGGGCCCTAGAAAATCACTCCACCCTCCACCCAGCCCTTTCTCAGCACCTGATGGGGCCGGAACAGGAAGGCCGTGTAGACCATGGGCTAGGTGGGTAAGGGCTCAGGGGAGGCTAGGAGGTCTGCAGGCCTAGGGCCACCCCAGAGTCACCTTTGCACTGGTGACCGGTCTTTACATGAAGCCTGGTGCCTAGCCGGCCTCAGGCAGCATCCCAGAAGTGAATGGGTGAATGAACGAGGGCCAAGAAGTCAGGAAATAGAGAAGCTAAGGGGCGTATGGCCAGAAAGACAGCCCGCAGGGACCAGCCAGCCCCCGTCCCAACTGTGGCCTTGACCAGCTGTGTGGCCTCCCAGGTGATGCCCCCACCCCAGGCCACTCTCCCTCATCTCTAACATGGGGAAAGGGTGGAAAGACGTGCCCTGTTGGCCAGAAGTTTCTATGATCCCTGCTCTTCCAGGCCTGGGTTCAGCAGTAGGTGGCTCAGGGTGACCCATCAAATCTATGGGAATGCATCTCAGCCCACTTGCCAAGGTCATGATCAATGGGGATGCATTTGGCACTTGCCACTTTAACCACGTATCATATTCTACTCTGGGGTGCAGGGCTGTGGTGTAGGGGTGGCCATGTCAGAAGAGTTCTGGAGACTCATAAAATGGAAGCAAACTACACGTCCAATAATCAGGGGTTGTTTACGTAAAGTATGGCCCACCCACATGACAGAATGCCAAGCGGCCATTGAAAAAAAAAATAGTGGGGTTGTCATGGAAACATGGTCAGGTTTATATTAAAGGAAAAGGGTAGGTTCTTTTTTTTAAAGGGCATATAAGCCAATCATATTTTTTAATTTTTTTAAATATCTTTATTTTATTTTGAGAGGCAGAGACAGAGAGCGAGCGGGGGAGGCGCAGAGAGAGAGGGAGACACAGGATCTGAAGCAGGCTCCAGGCTCTGAGCTGTCAGCACAGAGCCCGACGCGGGGCTCGAACTCACGAATCGTGAGATCATGACCTGAGTCGAAGCTGGACGCTCAACTGACTGAGCCCCCCAGGCGCCCTGAGCCAACCATATTTTTAAATGCATATTTGTGTATAGATGATGTATATAGATATAGTTTGTTTAATATATACTCCTTCTAGTTATTAAAGTAATACTTGCTCTTGTAAACTACTTCATCAATTGGAAATGAGACCCTTTATAACCTGACCACCCTCATGTTAATAGCAGTGGTCTCCAGACAGTAGGATTTACACCTATATCATCTGCACTTATTGAATTTATCTCAATCAGCATGTAATGCCTTGACAATATGGAAAAAATAAGGGAATTGGTAAAAGTATACTGTTTTATAAACTGGCTAGTTATTTCATGGGTGTGTAGCCTAGCTCTCCAATTAGACTTCAGGAAAAGATCAATGAAAGCATCGATTCAATGAATGAATTCTGAGAATTTTTTTAAATGCTTATTTATTTTCAGAGAGAGAGAGAGAGAGAGAGCAGGGGAGGGGCAGAGAGAGACGGAGAGAGAGAATCCCAAGCTGACAGCACAGAGCCTGATGTGGGGCTCTGTCCCAACACCATGAGATTATGACCTGGGCCAAAATCAAGAGTCGGATGCTTAACTGAGCCACCCAGGCACTGCCAAATTCTGAGAATTTTTGAGAAGTAGTACTGTGTGGCCTATGGTGGCCTTATAGAGGGACGGAGCCTGCTTCTCAGCTGTCTGAGAATGTGAACAGGGCCACACTACCTGAGAGAAGAAGAAGCAGGTCTCAGGCTCAGTGAGCCCCTCACAACATCCTTCCGTCAGCCCCCCAGAGTGGGGAACAGAGGCCAGGAGGGCTCAGGGGACTTACTCGTGGTCACCAAGCTGGTAGTGGCTGAGCCAGGGTTTGAACCTGGGGCTGTCTCTCTCCAGAGCCCACTCTTAACCACTCCTGGGTGCCAGAGCCCCGCCCGATCCCACGGACCTCCTCAGCGTGGATCCCATGGTGGCCCTGAGAACCTGCTGGCAGCTCTGACCGGCCCAAGATGCTGACACAGACCTCGGGGTATTAATAGCCCCAGTCTGGGCTCGCCGCCTCTTCCCCTCCTGAGGTCAGCCCGGGTCATGGGCCCCGTGCAGGGAGAGGAGTGCCCAGGTGGAGGACTGAGCGAGCGTGCCCAGGTCCCTGCTGTCTGAGGGATCTGTCTTGAGGCCCTCCTGGTCCACTCCAGGGACTGCTTGGGAGTTGAACCTCCACCGTTCTGGGCTTCTTGGCCGGAGGCCTTCATACCTCTGAGCCTCCGCTTCCTCATCTGTAAAATGGGGGTGGTATATCATCTTCACAGAAAGGTTGGTTGTGGGGTGAGGAGAAGCCAGAGCATGTAGCTCAGTACATGGCCCGCCACCCACGGACTCTGAGCACATCTCCATGTGCTTCTGTCCAGGGTCCCCAAGGAGGCAGCACAGGTCATCATCACTACACCCAAGGGGCTGGGATGCAACACAGTCTGGGCCATTGTCTCCTGTGTGATCAGATCCTGCTTGATCTGGATGGAATGGTCTGGAAGAAGAAGGCTTCACTCCCTTGCAGGGAGTCTGCAAGGAGCCCTGGACTGAGGACCGAGGGGGCTTCTGGCTTCACACCAACCAGGTGCGGTATGGGTGTGGGTCCTTCTGAAGGGAGCACTCAAGATCAATTCCTAACCCACAGGGTTGAGGGCTCACTATGGGGCAGGGACCCTGCTCGGCATTTAACAGACACCATCCCCCTGACCTCACCGCAGCCTTTGAGAGGTAGATGCTGTTATTCCCGTGTTCCAGGTAGAGAAGCCAAGGTCCAGACAGGCCGAGTGACTTGTTCAAGATCCCACAGCTAGTTGGTGGCAGATCCCAGCTCATCCCCCATTTGTCAGACTCTGGAGACCATGGCTGGTGCCCCGTGGCCAGCGAGCACTCACTGCCCCCTGCCCCCAGGCAGCCTACTGTCCTTGGGAGGCTCTGAACCTGGCGCCTGGAGGCTGTGGGGTGTCACAGGGAGGACTCTGTGATTGGAAGGGAAGGCACAGCCTCCTGCGTCCATCCCAACTGGATGGACAGGCCCTGCCTGCCCCTAACTGTGAGATCAGAGTCTTCACCCCAACCCTTCTGGCCGCCCTCTATCAATGGCTTTCCCTTGAGCCCAGGCCCAGCGGAGACTTTGGGTTCCTAGAGTCACCCAGGTGGGGACAGAGAGGCCTGACCCAAACCCCAGATCCTCAGCTGGGCCCTCTGGGTTTGCCTCTCTTGTCCTTCTGCGTTCTGCACCGGCCACGCGGGCCCCCGAGACCTCATGTGGGGCGTCCTGTCCTCTCGCCACGATTCTCAACCCAAACCCCATGGTTCTGTGACCCTACCCCACACCTGCAGTCATTTCCATGTCATTCCATGACCCCCACTGAACTGAGCTCCCCGGGGCCAGGGGCGGACCTGTCATTCACGGCACGCGCCCGGCCCCTCGAGTCGCGCCAGGCGTTTGATAAGCACTGATGAGCTGCCCGAAGTTGCTGTCGTGCTCCCGTCCTTCGAAAAACTCTAAGCAGCGGAGCCAGCCTCCAAAGGGGCAGATCCCTTACCAGCCGATCAATTAACCCTCCCTCTAGCGGAAATCAGATCTTACAGATTGCCATTTGATTGGACTCTCGTGCACCAAAGCCAAATTCAAGCCTGATGGAAAAAAAAAATAGGAATCAAACCCCAGCCTACCAGCTTAATGAAATGCTGTCACAGAGGGGAGGGGCCGGCCCCCAGCGGGCCCGAGATGATGCTGTCCGTGACGTCGTTCAGTACCTGGAGAGGCCTTTGGCCTGGCCCTGCTGTCCGGCCCGCGGGACGGGGTCCAAGGGCCCAGGCCAGCGGGGAGGGCAGGCCTGGCTCACAGCGACCCTCGCTGCTCAGACAGAACCTGGTAAGAGCAGGGGTTAGTTCAGGGCCCGCATCTGGGGGCCTCTGGGCCGGGCCAGCAGGAGAACTACATTTCCCAGAGTCCTCCAATCCTGGGGACTGAGCCATTGGAAGATTTAAATAGCCCAGGCCCGAGGCAGCCAGGCCGCAGGCTGTGGACTCGTCCGCCTCCCCGGTGGCTCCATTGGCGCTGGCCCGCGTTGGTGGGCTCGATTGGCTGCCCGGCTGGCACTGACGTCCCCGCGGAGCCCGGTGGCAGCTGGAGGTAAACAGCCATGTGCAGTCTTCCACTCTATATTTAACAGCTGCTGCGGAGAAGGCAGGGAGGCAGGAAGGGAGTGGTGGCGGGCTCCCCGGGAGGCTCCTGTCTTCGGGGAGAAGGCCTCCCAGCCCTGCTGGCACCGGCCCTTGCCGGGTGAGGCTTCACCATGCCAGCCTCCCAGAGCCGCGCCCGCGCCCGGGACCGCAACAACGTCCTCAACCGAGCCGAGTTCCTGTCCCTGAACCAGCCCCCCAAGGGCGCCCCGGAGCCCCGCAGCTCGGGCAGGAAGGCCCCGGGCCCCTCGGCGCAGCCCCCACCCCCCAGCGATGGCGCCCGCGAGAGGCGCCAGTCACAGCAGCTGCCCGAGGAGGACTGCATGCAGCTGAACCCCTCCTTCAAGGGCATCGCCTTCAACTCCCTGCTGGCCATCGACATCTGCATGTCCAAGCGGCTGGGGGTGTGTGCCGGCCGCGCCGCGTCCTGGGCCAGCGCCCGCTCCATGGTCAAGCTCATTGGCATCACTGGCCACGGCATCCCCTGGGTCGGGGGTACCATCCTCTGCCTGGTGAAGAGCAGCACGCTGGCCGGCCAGGAGGTGCTCATGAACCTGCTCCTGGGTGAGTGTGCCCGCCGTCCGCCACCCACCCCGCCAGGTCCCTGGGAGGGAGCCCACACCACCCCGCCCCGGGCCAGCGTGAGGGGGGCCCTCAGAAGCCGACTGGCACCGGCTAATGAGGTTAGGCAGGAAGGGTGCCCCAGAAACAGACAAACCTCCAGCCTGGGAAAGAGAGAACGGGGGATGCGCAGACAGGGGGCCCCTCCAAAGCAGGGGCCTTGAGAAGGTGGAGGCCCTGCGGAACCTCTAAGGAAGGGCCCAGCTCTTGGCAAAGTGGCCCGCTGCCCCAGAGGCGGCTTGAAGGACAGGGTGCTGGAGGCTGTGACCTCGAGGGAGGCCATCAAGAATCTGGTGGGGGTCCCGGTAAGTGTCCTAGAGAAGGGGTGACTCCCATGCCATGGGTTGGGGTCCTTGAGATCCTGGGCTGCTTGCAGATGCAGACAGGGCTTGTGAGCCCCCCGCTGCTCTCCCCCCGCCCCCCCCGGATGGTCAGAGACCCTGCCTGCTGCCCAGATTTGGGGGTGCGAGAGGTCCAGCCCAGGGCTCCCGCCCACTTACCTGCTGCTTCCTAGGTGACTCGCTGGAGAAACGGGCCAGGTGAGCTGGTGCTGGTTTGTTTTACCATGTTTTCTGCCGCCAGCATCTCTCCGTTTGGCACTGCCCTTTGCCGGGCACCACATGGGACCCACTCCCCTCCACTCATAAGGTGACACCGGCCCCCATCCTGCCCATCTCCATGCACCTTCAGATCCCCAAGGTGCTGGGGGAACCAGCGTCCACTCTCCACGCTGGGCCCCTGTCTGTCTTCCCCCCCCCCGCTCCCCGCCCCCCTCGCAGCATGGCCACCAGTTTGGGCTCAGGCAGGGGGAGGTCTCAGGCCATGCAAACCCTGCCCAGGGAGCCCAGCTCCAGAAGGGGTGTAGCCTGGACCACTGAGGACTGCGATCCCAGGCAAAGCTGCAATAATGTGCACCTCGCTGCTCAGGTCTCGGGGAGGGGGGGCGGGGGCTGGACGCTCTGTGTGGGACGTGGGGAGGAGGAAACCGGCAGGTGCTTCCTTGCACCCTCCACGTTTTCTGGTTCTGATTATTAAGTTGTTTACACTCCTTATTGTCCCTCCCGAATAGACAGTCCCACGTGACTGGGGCGATTATCGCTCCCACTTTACAGATTAGGAAATTGAGGTTCCTATAAATAAAGCAACCTGGCCAAGGCTTCAGAGCTAGAGATTTGCACCGGGTCCGCCTGACACCAGGCTTGAGCTCTTTCCAGGCGCCCTGGCTTGGGCTTCGGGGGGCAGAGCCCTGCGCTCAGTATCCAAGGTTTCCCTGCGGCTCTCACAGCCCCGGACAGAGCAGCCGGTTCAGAAAACTGTGTTGGGAGTTAGATTGTCTGGGGTCCGAGGACGGGGGTGACAAGGGACCCTCAGGCCCCTCTCAGCCCTGCTCCCTAGACCCCCTCCGCACACCCCTTCCCTGGGCGACGTTGGAAGTGGTAAAGCTGTATCTGTAATGTGTTCAGTGTTTACCGCGTGCCCGGCGTTGCGTGAAACACACCTTCGCTCCGAGTCCTCTCACAGCCCCAGGAGGGAGAAGCAGTCTCCTTCCTCTTGTAAAGAGGAGGAAACTGAGGCACAGGGTGGTGCCTTGCCCACGGTCATGCAGCCAGTCAGAGAGTCAAAGACGGAGCGGGGAGCACCTCTAGCTTATTATGTTGTTGTTGTTGTTTAATTTTTTTAATGTTTTATTTATTTCTGAGAGAGACAGACAGACAGACAGACAGACAGACAGTGTGAGCAGGGGAGGATCAGAGAGAGAGGGAGATTCAGAATACAAAGCAGGCTCCAGGCTCTGAGCTGAGCTGTCAGCACAGACCCCAATGCGGGGCTCGAACCCGCAAACCGTGAGATCATGACCTGAGCCGAACGCTTAACTGACCAGGCCGCCCAGGTGCCCCTCCTCTAGCTTGTTAACAGGAAGTTTCTGGCTCATTCCGGCAACCAGCAGCTGTGGGCACAAAGGCTTCTGCTTCAGAGGATGAAGACCAAGGCTCGGGATGCCTCCCTTCTTGAATGAGAATGACAGGCGTTCTTAAGTTTTTAAAAACATTATTTGTTGAGCTTCTTCATGTACCAAACACTATGCCATGAATGTCCTGTATTTCATAATCTAAAAATATTTTTAATGACTTAAGTATTCATATACCCACTTCACAGATGAGTTAACTGAGGGGTCCAGGGACATGTCCACCCTGCACAAGAGTTAGTGGTAGGCCCAGGGACCAAAGCCATGTCCTCCAGAAGGCAAATCCTTTGCCCCCCCTCCTGCCCCCCCATGCACTGTGAGCCTGCAGGCTGCACGGACCGCCTGATCATTCCAGAAGCATGAATACAGCAAGGAGGTGAAGGGTCTGGGGGGAGGTTTTCCACCTACCGGCAGCTTTACTGATGTATCTGGGTGCTAAGAGCACAGAGAAATAAGGGCTTGGCCCAAAGCAGCCTCTCCATAGCAGGTGCTCAGAGCAGCCGGAGTGCCCTGTGGGCTCTGCTCGCTTCATGGGGGTGCAGACCAAGCCCCTCAGTTCCGTGGCAGAGAGCCGCAGCGGGTACCCAGGGTGGGTTCTGATCCCACAGCTCTGGCGCAACCTGCCGGGGGGCTGCCCACGCCATCCTCCACCTGGGGAAAGCAGCCCGCCCACTGAGCAGCACAAAGTGCAGACTTCTGTCTCTCCTTCAGTCTTTGGGGGGCCAGGGTGGGGAGCAGCTTTCAACCCTAGAGCACAGGGTCCAAGGTCAGCCTGGGCTTTGTCCAATCCTTCCCTGACCCTTTCCCTCTCTGTGAACTTGGCCAAGCCAGTTCCCATCTCTGAGCCTCAGTTTGCTGATCTGTACATGGGGCCCCAGGGCTCACGGGAAGCTGATAAGGCCCTTGGCACAGTGGGAGGCGGGTGAGCAGTCGTGCCCCATGCCACCACCCAGCCCTGCCCTCCCGCCCTGAGCACCAGGCGACCTAGCGAATTCCCGGGGGGGGGTCTCTGGGCTGGGAGTGGGGGCCCCCACCTGTGTAGCTGGGACCTGGGCCCCCTGCAGCCCCAGAGGGGAAAACTCAGGAGGCCTGGGAACACAGCTGGGCCAGGAGGAGGTTCTCTGCGCTGCCCCCCACCACCCCGTGCCCCCCCAGCTATGCTGCCCAGCCTGGAGAAAACACCTAAAGGGGCCTTAGCAGCTGGGAAAACCTTGGCCTCCAGAGTCGGCTGGACCTGGGGGCGAATCCTAGCCCTGCTGTGGGAACTCAAACAAGTGACTTTGCCTCTCTGAGCCTCGTTTCCCTCATCTGTCGAATGGGTGGCTGGGACAGCTCACTGTAAGAATCTTGGCACGTACTGATGCCGGTTAACGCTTGTGCAACTCTGCGCGTCACCATCCGTGCCCCATCACCATTATCGAGAGCAGTCCCGGGGTTTCCCCCAGGCTCCAGCCACCTGCGAGACGACTCGGTCCCCTCCCTCGCCCCTCCCCTGCAGCTCCAGGCTTGATGATCCCACAGGGAACACGCAGCAGGTGATGCAGGCCGATCCCAGCTCACCAAGCCCGTGCCGGTTACTTCGTGGGCCTCCTTGGCCGACCATGGCTTCTGTGTCTTGTTGCCATGATCTATAAAAGTGTCTTTATTGACATCGTCCTGGTTATGAAAACCATACACTCATCCCTTTCTGTATCATTTTTTTTAAGCTTTTTATTTCTTTTTTTTAATTTTTATTTCTAGGAGAGAGAGAGAGACAGCATGAGCAGGGGAGGGTCAGAGAGAGAGGGAGATACAGACTGAAACAGGCTCCAGGCTCTGAGCCGGCAGTCAGCACAGACCCCGACGCGGGGCTCGAACCCACGAACCGCGAGATCATGACCTAAGCGAAAGCCGGACGCTTAACCGACTAAGCCACCCAGGTGCCCCTCTGTATCATTTTTTAATGGTGAAAAATACATACATGACACCACACTTGTCATTTTAGCCATTTTAAGTATACATTTCATGGCCATTGAACACATTGACAATGTCATGCAACCCTTACCACCATCCATCGCCAGAACTTTTTCCTCGTCCCAGACTGAAGCCCCGTCCCCGTTAACCCTTGACTCCCCGCCCCTCCCCCAGCCCCTGGCAGCCACCGCTCTCCTTCCTGTCTCTATGAACTTGACTTCTCCAGGGACCTCATAAAAATGGAATCACACACCACTGTCCTTCTGTAACTGGCTTATTGCACTTTGCGTAATGGCCCCCAGGTCCGTCCATCCTGTAACAGGCATCAGGAGTCCCTCCCTTTGCAAGGCTAAATAATACCCCACGGTCTGGCTAGGCCACGTTTTGTGTACCCATCATCTGTCAGTAGACACTTGGCTGGCTTCTGGCTTCTGGCTGCTGCGACCCTTGCTGATCTGAACATGGGTGTGCAAGTCCCTGCCTTCGGGGCTTTGGGGTAACTACTCGGAAGTAGAATCGGTAGGTTAAATGGCAATTCCAAGTTTAATTCTTCAAGGCACGCCCGCACTGTTGCCCGTGGCCGCTGCTCCGCTTTACGTTCCCACCAGCGACACCACAAGGGCTTCCTTTCTCCGTGTCCTTCGCCGATGCCTGCTGTTTTCCGGGTCTTGAGAATAAGCGTCCCAGTGAGTGTGCAGAGTGGAATCTCGTGGTTTTGAGTTGCATTTTCCTGAAGGGTTAGTGATGTTGACCACTCTGTCATCGCACGCTCCTCTTGTGAGAGAAATCCGAACATCACGAGGACGGGTGACCAAAAGAGCGAGTGCTTCCCTTAAGCCCCCTCCCCAGGAATAACGTCTCCTTACGGTTTGGGCCACGGGCCTCTGCACGCATGTGACAGCCTAGCTCTGTGCACGTGCTAACGGATCGTAGGTTTCTCAGATGACCTCCTGCGGTGTTTTTCCCAGCTTGGCCTCAGTCTCACAGGACCGGCCGAGCCGTGAGCATGCCCTTTGGGATTGTG